GGGGGGGGGGGGGGGGGATGAATGGACCGACGACACTGGCGGTCTGCCAGACAGCGAGTAACTTATTATTATGTGGTATTAAATTATCGCAAAGGACGATCTCTACGAGGCAAGTCAGTGCAGGAGCTACACTCCGACAATGGCCACGGCCAAGTGCACATGAAACGATTAAATCCAGTAACAGACACCTCTTGTAAGGCCTATATCTATGTATTTATGAACTAAAGCTTCCTTTTCTCTCTTGTAGATTTTCCTCTCATTACGACGATTGAGCATGGTTAAAACATTGCCAAGCGAAAATATTCTTAACGAATGGACCCATATAGTGGATGACTAGTTTAAATAAAAAGGAGCTCAATTTTTCATAACTTCGAGTTTTTCAATTGTAATCGTTAAGCTCTGTTATAAAAATAATGATTACTTAATTAATTTTCTACGCTAATTTACGAGAAAGCTATCTGCAAGGAAAGTTAAAATCCCGACATGTCCCTTAGTTACAGATAGAGTAAATGAATCGACAAGAGTAAAGGAGAAGCTGAGTGAAAAATTAATCGGGTCTTAATATGTAATTACCTCTTGAAGTCTTACCACAGGCAAAACGATTTATAAAAATCAAAACAACATCAACCTCCCAAGCTTTCAAAATTTCTACAGGATAAAATTTTTTCTTCTCGACCCTATATAGTAAGTCTACATATACTAATCATACTCGCTACCGATTTCGCATTAATCAAAGTCAAGTATACATACATATCTATATAATATATACTACAAGACGAGAGTACAGCAGAAAGTTGTACATAAAAATAAGAAGAAAAATATCGCGTACACTTCCAAGAGGCCAATACAAGCGCAAGGCGAGTCATTTTTTTATTTTTGTTCATACTCGCAAAAAAAAAAAAAAACAATCGTGATCGTTAGCAAAAATGTTCTCTTGCAGCGATGTCGTCCCCCAAGCAAACGAATTCCACTCAGCTTGTTGCGTTTTACAAGACAGATTTACACATGCACGTAAACGTTTTCTCTCAATTTGCGCTTGATATGTACATGCACATTATACGTTTAGAAGCTATGTAGATTTATGTATATACATAAATATAAGGATATATAGAACGACGAAGCGGAGAAAGATCTAGAGAGGGTAGAGAAGTTGTGGAAGAGCACGAGGCAAACAAGGTCGACGTTGGGTTCTCAGGAAAATTGATTTTAAAACTACAAGTCGCGCCTTGTGTTGGCTTTAATTCGATGCAAACGAGGGATGCGTGCTACTGCGCGCCTCTCGACTAGCGGCACCTCTATAGCGCACCTGGCTTAACTTTGTCTTGCCACGTTGGGTGTATATATATGTACATAATACACATACACGCAGGATGAAATTTGGATTGTCGGTAGCTCCTTTCCTCATAGCGACGCGTGTTTTCGGCTATATCTATAATACGCTTACAGACATACTATATACATGGATATCACTTTAGCTAGGTGTACATATGTATAAAGATAGAATCAGCCCATAGACGTGTCGCGACCAAGTTATCATAATTAAAGCAATTTAAATTCAATAGTCTCAGCATATTGAAGCTGGGATGCAATGAGCATGCGTCTGTATAAATACGTACCTGCACACACCTCATAATGAACTGCAGGGCTATGTGTAACCCGTACGAGTGTTATGGGTACACACACGTCATGGGGTTCGACGACAGCAGCTCGGCCCTCCAATGTGTGTGTGTGCGCAGTGTGGATGAAATGCACGCGCCAGCCTACAAGCGAGAGAGAGAGAGAGAATTAGCATACTAAACTTTATCAGCAACAGCTCGACAAAGACGTGCCAAGACGGCTCAACTAATTTCTCCGCAAGATAGAATAAGTTTCGCGACGCGCCTCCTTGCTATAACCGCTCCTGAGGTGCATCCTCTGGGCGCTTACTGCGCCTAGCTTTATTATTCAACGAAAAAAGCTTCATATCATCTCGTGCAAGAGAAAATGTTTGAGCTTACGCAAACGCAAATCCATGCTCGCGAGATCGTAAGCCTTGCCGTTGTGCGCATTTGTTCGCGGCATTTACGGCAACCCAAGACTGGAGCTTTTTCCGCAAAACTCATCGATAATCGTATAAGCGAACGAGCGGCTCTTCTTTTCTTTCCCCCGTAGCTCCATGTACTAGATTCGAAGCCAATATTTCAACTGTAAAAGTTTCGAGTAGGTACTGTTTCGAATTGCGGATTATAAGCCTGGTAAGTAATATGGAACAGCTAAGCGAGAGTACGTTGATACGGACCGTTTACCGTAGAAAGATTGAAGAAATTGCACAGGATGACAAGGGTCTCAACCATTTCAATCCTGCATCTCGAGAAAACCTAACGAAATTCTCATTTCTTGCTCATATTTTTCCAATGAAGATTTTGTCCGAGCAAGAATTATGAATTGTTGTTGATAAACTTTTGTAACGAAAATCAACGAGCCAGCTATGTAGCGGTGCGTGACTCAAATTTCAAGAGCTTTGATATTGAAAATTCCTAAGGCAGGGCCATAATGAAACGTTCATAATTAAGGGAAGACCAACTGCGCGACCTCGTGTAAAAAGGGAATATAAGTAGAAAAGTATTCGTCTCGACAGGACACATAAGAGTAAGCGAAAAAAAATCAAGTCCCGCAACGTTGTGAAGAGGAATACCTAATACAGCATAGAATCGTACTTGGCTTTTTATGGTCATTAGCGCTCTCTCGCTCTCAGTGATATTTTCCAGCCGCCGACTATGGGACATTTCTACGTGAGCATATATATATATGCGTATGCATTATACGTCCTATAGATAGAGCTACGAAAATCTCGTCGCGGCTTGTTGGTGGCGGACTGTATACCGAGTGCTGTACAAACTACAGCTGCAAGCAGACCAGCGAGAAAATTTGTATTCAATTTCAGACCAGAAAGAGGAAGAAAAGAGAGAGAAAGAGGAAAAGAAAAGTTGAGGGTTGATTCGTTTTATTTTAAACTCGCGGCTCGCATACATTACTCTAGCAAAAGGAGAGAGAGAGAGATGCGACGTGCTTATGCACACGAAGCGATCTTTTGCATTATCAAACCAGAATAGCTTTTCCGGCTCTCCCACTTCTCGTCGCACAGACATTTTTAATAGCAGCGATTCTTTGCGCCAGATATGATGCATTTCTTTTCCTGTCACCGCAATGTGAGATATATCACACTCTCTGCGTGTGCTGTGCGAGTAAGTATTCGTTTGGTGTTTTTCCCGACGACTTATTTTATGTAAATAAGTAACTTCATTGAAAAAAGGAAAATGAAATTATTTTTATCACAGAATGCAGATGAATTATTATATTACTTTTACTTACAAAATGTTGTACGAGATTGGTGCACACGTATTAATATTAGCATTTTTCAAAAATTAACTTTATTGAAAAACGAAACCATAATTCTTATACTTAGTTGATTAATCATCACATTTGACTTACTTTGATCGCCTGATTGTAAGAAGATGCATGCTATTTGAAATAATACATAAATTAGAGCTAATCCTACGTGTATGTTTACAAAAATACATTTTTAATGTTATTGTCAATCTTGTTAATTATTAATTGAAATTTGATCGATAATTTTTCTTGCGATTTTTCAGCATTTAATTATTATTTAATGAATATAGTATTATTGACTATTATTGTGAGTTGAAAAAAAAAAATTGATAAACGCGTACAGATTTAAAGAAATTTGTTTATTAAATTTATTTAATTATAAGAAATAATGCTAATAAAAATAATATTAATAATAATAAAATAAATCTAACTTATAAAAAAGAGATGGACCTAAAAGTGAAGCCAATCTACTCGGCCTCTGATTGGTCGACTGACTTTTGACTCGAGTCGAAACGTAATAAAGTGACATCTACGGTCATAATAGCAAATTTTTCGAAACTGACTGAAAGATGTACGCGCGCGAAGCGCGTCTGAAAGTTGCTAACCTCAAAACACAAATAAAAAAATTGATACGCGCAGAGCGCGTCTTAAACGTCTAGTAAAATATATATTACTCGGTGTACATTCAGAGACTGATCGTTCGATGCTTCTGTCGTCGAATCAGTAAACATTGCAACGTCATTGGCGTCACGATCAACAGCCGCATACTTTGTTAGTGCATTGAGCGTTTAATTAACACGCGACTCCTTTCTACTCGTCGTCTGCTAAACTTTCACGCGATCGCCAACTCGCATACTAGCGGCCATTCTGTTAACTGGCACAGACCTGCGCAGGCGAGTACTTACATGCTCAAAAAACATAATGCATGAACGAGAGAAAAAAGTTCAGCGCTCCGACCGTACCTACGCTGGGCTATGCACAACAGCGTATCGCGAGTACTTATCCATCTTTGTCGTGTTAGTCGAACCACTTCTATAGTTTAGTTTAAAAAACTAAAGACTTCTGAACCTTCTTCTTTTGAAGGTCGTCGTCGATCAACCTTTTTGGTTGTACCAAAACACTTCGGTGTTCACGGTATTTCACTTTTTCACCATAACTCGCGACATAACTGTGGATGATCGATTGTCGATGGTGAAGCTTGGAGCTCATCGTCTGGTATGCGACGACGACCTTTTCAGTATTAAATAAATCGTAAACAATTTCAAGTTTTACCAAAAGTGATCTCAAAATGCAAAGTATGTGGAAATACGTTGCCCGGGGTGTACGCGATACGATCGAACGTCGAACATGTCGCACCAATATTTATTCCCAGAGTGCTCAACAAGAACCAACGCCAGAAAATCCTGAAAGATCTGTTGATCGCTGTAAAATCCTCAAGTCCGTCCGCCCTCAATTCTTTGCTGTTTTCAATCGTTATGGTTATAAAAAGTACTCGGGTGCGGAAAAGGATGAAACCAAAGACAAATATAAGGCCGAATATACTTGGTGCGATGCCGTGAGTTGGGTAAGCTATTCTATGCAAATCTATAACATGATCTTACGTTTGCCAAGTTCCAAGTTCTCGAAAATATTACGCAATAACTGACCCTACTTCATAATTGCTTTGTTTCTGCGTTTTTTGAAACTCATACCAATTGTTTGCTCAACTAGAACTTACAAACAAGTTATTTAAATCATCTTTTACATAAGCTTAGTCAAACTCTTAATATCAATAAATTTATAATTTTATATTTCAGTCAAGCGTTTTGGCTGTTGGATACGTTGTATGCCATACTCTTTGCCTTCGTCTTAAACGATTAGAAATTGACAATTTTAATATTGAACAATGGAGAAGAAGATTGCTTGAAAATCAATCTTTTGGAACATCCCAAGCTTTTTACAAATTTTTCCTGCCAAAGCCACAGTTTATTTTATCCATAAGTAAACATCCTGCGGAACTTGAAGATTCTGTTAAGACTTTTGAAGATCAAGCAATTAAAGATGAAACATTTTATGGCCCACCAACTGCTGATGAGGTATGCTAATTTTGTATACTTTTTAATTACACTTACAAATATCATTATTCATGCATACTTATTTCATCAAGTTTCATGTTTGATCATCAAATTACTTGTTTAAGGCTATTAAGGAAGCTTTGGACAAATTCATATTGACTCATAAAAAAGTTTTGGCTGAACATGAACTAGATTATGGAATGAAAGCTATTGAAGAAAAACGATTCAAAGATGCAGTTCAACATTTCACCATTGGTTCTGAACTGTTATCGGTTTCTAGTATGTTCAATTTAGGTTTATGTTACGAACTTGGCTTAGGAACTTCTGTTGATTATTCAAAGGTAAATAAATTTTAAGACAACAATTTTCACATTGAATCATAAATCTAATTACATTGTTTTAATTTAGGCAGCAGAGTATTATCAAAAAGCTGCTGATAAAAACCATATTGATGCCATGTATAATTTAGGTATATTTTATGCTCAAGGAAAAGGCGATTTTCAAGTAAATTTATCCACTGCCAAAAAGTTGTTTACTCAAGCAGCTAAAAATGGGCACATAAAAGCTTCTAAAGCTTTACTTTTAGAAAAAGCTTTTCAAAAACAATCTGGACAAAAATACAAAAACAGTTATTTAGAAGTAAAAACTCTGAAAAACAATGTCAACAATAATGTTATTTCTACACTGTTGAATTTCAACTTTTTGAATGACATTGATATGTCAATTAAAAAGTCTGATGAAATTGATAACTTGTATAATGATGAGAAATCTTCAAAAAATCCTACAGAAGTTTTTTTGGAAATATTAGGCGTTAATGAGGAAACTGCAATGCAGATCATTTATCAATAAATTTCATTTATTAATTAATTTGTATTTTACCTTTTTTCTCATCTAATGAAATCATTGATTAATAAAACAGGGACTGTTTTGTTAAACTATTTGTAGTAAATGTACATAAAATGTATATAAGTTTGTAAATATTTTAGTAGATAATATTTTAACAAATGGATATAAAGAAATTATGAAAATGTAAACAAAGTATGATGAGATTAATCATCTTTTTCAGTACTGTAAACAAGTTCTACCTGTACATTTTCATTGGAAAATAAAAATTAATTACGATTTTTTTATAAGATTTGTTTAAATAATAAATGAGAAATTATCATCCTAATAAAACCGTAGGTATATTATCGATGTACAGTATAAAACTACATCACACAAATTAAAATTTTTAATGGTTTTTATTCTTACAGTAACTATGTATTTATTCTTACATGAAAATAACGATTTTTTTTCTAGAAAAATTTCGCTTCCTTGTAAAGGAGAAGTTTCATTATTATTAAAAAAACTGGGGGGAGAAGTTCTACTTTAAAAGTAAAATGACAGTTTTATAGAAAATGGTTTTAGCTAACTCCTGCGTAAGGTGAAGAAGCTAAATGCTTGTTTTATTAAATAATTTTATTAAATAATATAAAAATTAAAAAAATAATATCCTCTTTTTCAACTTTTTTACGATTTTGACTCTTGTAATGGTAAAAAGTACTCTATCTACCAGCGCCACCAAAGAGCCCGGTCCGTGGAAGAAATTAAATGACGCTTAATACTGTTAGTACCTGATTGGATAGCATAGCCCAGAGTGTATAGCGCCATATTGTTTTCTTTCACGATCGAGCCGGCCGCTCAACCCAATGCTCACTAGTGACTGGTCTGCACGCGCACGTGTTATTATACCTTTACCAATAAATCCTAGCAGACTGACAAATTCGGTTCGGAAATGTTTTTATGTTGAGTCAAATAATTTTTTAATGTGCATTTCCTTGACAAAATGAAGAACAATAAATTTGAACGTGAAAATATTGTGTGGACCAATCTCGAACTCAAAAAGCTCATCGAAGATGAAAATTCTTGTGTAAAGTTAGTTAGAGCAAAAAAGCATTTAGGGTTGCTTCCCTACCATTTAAATGATCTCAATGCTTCCTTGAAAGAATCGATGAAGGGTTTTTTGTATTGCTACGATCGCGAGTAAGTGTTGACTGATTTAATACTTTTATGTGCATTTGCCTTTTTAATTTATCATTCTTCTGAATAAATTTGTTCAGAGGTTTTGAGATTTTTTTATGAATACATACAAATTTTCTTTTTTTTCCAATTCATCAGTTAATCATTTTTTATATCACAGATTAGAAGGATCACTATTAGCTTTCCAAAAAGGAAAACTTTTGACGAACTATGGAGATCTTATGGGTGATTCACCCTTCATACATATTGATATAGAAGCAGATTTTTACATTTTCCAACCAAAAATTGGAAAACCCTTGAAAGGTATTGTATGCATTTTAGATTTTAAACTTATAATAAACGGTCAACTATTATTTGATGTGTTCTTATTATAGGAGTTGTCAATAAAGTTGCTCCTAATCATATAGGACTCCTAGTTCACAAAGGCTTCAATGCCTCAATTCCTAAACCATTTGGTAACGATAAAGAGTGGATTGGTAACACATTGTCCATTGATCAGGAAGTAACATTTACGCCTACTATTATAAATTTTAATTCCAAGTGTCCCTATATTCGAGGAACTTTGAATGAAAGGTAAATCAATATTTCATCTTAGCCCTTTACTTAAATTACTAAATCTAATGAACATTTAACTAACGATGATTATGGTTTGCAGTGAATATAATTCTAAACATCCAAAGAAAATAGTTCCCAAAATAGAATTTGAATCAGAGGAAGAACAAGTTAAAAGAGACAGCGAAAGTGAAGAAGAAGAGCTAAATGAGAAGGAAGAAGAAGAAGAAGAAGAAAGTGAACAAGAAAGTGAACAAGAAAAAGAAACAAACAAAAAAATATTAACAAAAATAAAAAAAGAAATAAAAGAGGAGATCCAAGAAGAAACGCAAGCAGAAATTCAAGAAAATAAAAGAACAGAAAAAAAAGGAAAAAAAGAAAGTAAAAAACGAAAACAAAGAGAAGAAGTAGACGAAGGAGAACAAGAAATTGACAAACGAAAAAAGAGAAGAATAAGTTGAACAAATATATGCATTTGATTGAATCATTGTTGTTTTTTATGTATAATAAACTTTGTCATTGAAAAAAAGAATGTATTCCATGTATCATAGTCCTTATTAGTCTTAATGTATTTTCACATAAAAGCATGTAAAAACTGAGATACAAGTAGTAATGTTGTAATAAATTAGTTATTTAATTAATTGAATGTATTCAGACATTCACTAAATGTTACATAACTCCAAAAATGGTTTAAGTACAGTATTATAACACAGCAGAATAGAAGAATAATCAAACGTATTTTTGTTTTTTTTTTTTTCAATTCAGTACTTTATTTCACACTTATGAAATAATATATCAAAATATAAATACTGGAAAAAAACAAATTAAAGCAGCACAATTTTTTTTCACATTGTTGACATTTAATAATGAAGTTTATTGAAATAATATAAAGATGCATTAGAATATTTTTCAACTGTTTTTAGCAGATATACATAGCATATATGGCACAATGCACCTGAAGTTTATGTAAAGAATATTAGCAAAAAATATTTTTACAGATTCATGAGAAAAATTTTTAAAATATTTAAAAAATGTGACGTGAATGTTATTTATAATTTCAAAAGTTGAAAACAAATCTTACCCATAGAGTTACTTTGAAAAATAAAATTAATTGTGAATGTTATGCAATTGATTGAAGTAAAAAGTGAACAATAATTAATTAAATAACACAAAACAATGTTACCAGTGTGAAGCATGTTTTTGTACAATTTTTTGTATAAAATCTTTGTGACTTGCATAGAGGATTAAATTACAATCAATATCAATCCATTTAACTTTTGTTGCATCATCACCAGCTTGTAAGTTGAAATTACCAACAATCTTACCACTTGCATCATGAAAATTGAAAACAATAGTTTCCATCCAAGCATTATCCGTATTTCTAGGATCATCCACATATCCTTTGTATATTTCTTCACCATTGCTAAAAAATGTTTCAATTGTTTTTTCAACAATTTTTAGTTCTTCAACAGACTTTTCAAGTGTATTCATTGCTTCTTCCATGAATTCTCGACGTAGAGTTACTGTAACTTTCTCTCCTGGATCAACCATTCCTCCAGGTATAGCCCACTCACCCGAATCCCTTCTTTGGATTCCCACGAATTGCAAAATTGGTTTATTAGTTATTTCATTCACAGTAATTGAGTTATCTTGATTTCGCTTCCACCTCGTAACAACAGGATCAGCAGCATGGTTTGGACCCCATCTACCTAATAAACCTCTTCCTTTTATTCCTGTACGTCCATATGGATTAATAGGATAATTATGTTCATCAATACAGTAATTAGTAATGAAACTGATTCTATTGACATTGCCTATAAAGGATAAAAAAAAAGAATATCAAACTGGAATTCAGGGAAGCAAATAACTATTTTTACCATCTAATTTATTCCATTTAAACATTGAAGATTCATTTTCAATACTAGGATCAGCCCAAGGCTTCCCTTCAAGTGCTTTTGATGTATAGTTGATTGGATTGTATTCAGGAAAATTGGTATCCCATATAACTTTATCATCTGGAACTTCACTCCTCTGAATATTTGATAACGGGTAAATATTATTTCTACATTTAGCGTGAATAAACTTAATACTAATTCCTCTTTTCATGTTTGAAATTGTTTCATTTGGTTCTAGAAAAAAGAGTTATCATAAACTTATAATATCAATCAGAAGTAAAGAAAGATAAATGTAAGTAATTAAAAAAATTCAAATTAACAATGTCTATTTACGGGGGCACATGCAGGAAACAAAAACAAAAAAATATGCCATTGGGTGATAGTTCATAACTAATTTTTTACCAATAGCAAGTTTTCAGTTTAAAAATAATATAATCACCGGAAAAAACTATTTTTTATTTTTGTGCTAACGAAAATAAAGGCATCAAGTGCAGCGAGTAACTTAAGCTCAATACTGAAATATTTTGCACTTGACAACAAAGTTTGTTTACATTTTTGCGCATATTCCCAAGGCCAATGTCTCGTAATGGCCAATCAAGATCATCAAATAAAAATTTCATAAGCTATAGACCTTTTTCACAGTCGTCACTATTGGTCACTTTACAGATTTTCCTGGAGGCAAAACAAACTAGGTCTCTCGTTTACTTAACCCGCAACACCTTGCATATTTCATCTCCAGGCAAATCGTAAAGTGACCAATAGTGACGACTGTGAAAAAGCCCTATTGTAATTGTAGCTTTTCGATACTAAATTATGCTCGACTTACAACTAGCTTCAGTGCACTTCCCTGTTCCCACCACATGCCCACATAGTCAAAGTTTTCCGGTGGCACGTTATACTACGTTATACTTATACAATACATGCGCTTCTCAGTCGTACGTTCGCCAGGTGTCTATATAGCGCATAGATTACTCCTAACTGCAACTTGCAGAGCAAAGGGCTTGTGAACACTAGAACCGTTACGACATTTTGGCGGTAAACGGTTTCAACTCGCATACAAGCTTGCTCCATATTTGTTCTCAGACATCTGTTATTTTTATCGTAATCGACTATAAATAAACAAAAACAGTACGTACTTATAGAGTGTCCACGTGTTTTTAAAACTTCTCGCATTGTATAACAAAGTGAAATTAAATTTACGAACAACATAAGCGCTTGTGCCAATTACAATTGAAAATTTATTTGAAAATAGATTTTCATTAAAAGAAATAATTGTATAACCTTGTTTTAGTGCCACCAAAGAAAACCATTGCGGCAATGAAAAGACCAGCGCCAGTTAGTCAGGATGAACAAGATGATAAACCAGCCGTCAAAAAAACCAGAGGTAGACCTGCTAAAAGTGAGAAAAAGAATGGAGTTATCGAAGTTGACGGTAAGAATTTAACAATACTCATTTTATTATGTTATTGAAATTGCTGAGATTTTATAAACAATGATTATTAAAAATATTCATTATCGCATCCTCAATTAATTTAATATAAATACAAAATGTCATTATTGAGTCAAGGTTATGACCATAAGTGATTATTTCTGTATTTTTATCTAAAATTGGACTAAATTCATGCAGTAACTAAATGTTTAGTAGAGTCAATTTCAAATATCTCAATAAGCAATACTTTGGTGTTGAATTTCAATAAAATGTTCTAAATGAAAAAAGTGTGCTTAATAATTTTTTTGTTTTTTTAGAATCACAAGCGAGGGTAATTTTACGAGAAATAACAACTGGTGGCAAGGTACTAACATGTGGTCAAGGAGATGTTGGACAACTTGGTTTAGGAGAAGATGTTATGGAAAAAACTCGTTTTGCTGCTGTGCCAGATCACACAAATATTGTAGCCATTGCTGCTGGTGGAATGCACAATGTATGCTTAACTAAAGATGGAAAAGTTATTACATTTGGTTGTAATGATGAAGGTGCACTTGGAAGAGCTACAACTGAAGAAGGCTCAGAAACAGTTCCTGGGTTTGTTGATTTACCAGCATCTGTTATTCAAGTAACAGCAGGTGATTCACACAGTGCAGCTCTCTTAGAAGATGGACGTGTATTTGTGTGGGGCTCATTTAGAGTTAGTTAAAAATTCTTTATTATGAACATTTTATTCTTTTTTCAATAATTAAATTAATATTTTTACTCTTTAAGGATTCACATGGAACCATGGGATTATTGACTAAAAATAATGAACGAATCCCGGTTGAAATTTCAGCAAAGAAAAAATTTATTAAAATAGCTTCAGGAGCTGATCATTTGGTGTTGTTAGATAGTGCTAAACAAGTTTTTACATGTGGTTGTGGAGAGCAAGGTCAACTTGGTCGTCTACCTGAAAGGAAGACTGATAGACATAGCAGACAAGGTGTGAATCAATTGCTTACACCTGGTCAAGTCTATTTTAAAATAAACAAACACGTTGAAGTTGAAAATATTTGGGCTGGTACTTATGCAACTTTCATAAAAGATTCTCATAATGGAGATATATATGTATTTGGATTAAACAATTATAGCCAAATAGGTACGTTCAAGTATATCTACCAAATTAATAATAATATACTATTTACTATAACGATTCCAAATTGAATCATTTTAGGTCTTAAAGGTGTTGATAAACAATATCACCCCAAAGTTTCTCAAGTATTAAGCAACAAAAATTGGACTCAAATATGTTCCGCTCAGCACCATACCATTGCTCTAGATGACCAGGGTAAAGTGTATGTTTTAGGTCGAAAAGAATATGGACGATTAGGTCTTGGCCCTGTTGAAGAAGATGCTACAAACCTGACTATTGTACCTTCTTTAGAACAAGTAAAATGTATTGATGTTGCAGTAGGAAGTGCTCAATCTTTTGCAGTGACAGAAGCAGGTGATTAAGAACCTTCATATTCAATTGTCAACAAAAGTAAAACTGTTTCAATTGTTAACTCTACAAAAAAATTATGTTTTTTGCTTGTAGGAAAACTATATGCATGGGGTATGGGTACTAGTGGTCAACTTGGTACAGGGGAAGAAGAAGATGTTGACACACCAACTTTAATAGAATCAAAACAATTGAAGGATTTAAAAATTGTACGAGTTTCAGGTGGAGGTCAACACACAATAGTTCTGGGATTATCAAATACTGCAAATGGTGAAACTGTTAAATAATATGCCATTAAATTGGATTTGTAGCAAAAAAATTCAATTAGATCACCTTTTTTTGACTAGAGGTTTCATTCGAGTACAGGACTTAATATTTCCAATAATTGTGACAATTTTTGTAAAAAAGTCAAAGCTCTAATTTTGTTTAAAAAAAAACTAATCATTTAAAACAGTTTTTGTATGTAACGTTTTAAAACTTTTTATTTGATGATATGAGTTTAAAAAAAATTAGGGCGTTATACATTGCACTGTGCCTTATTAACATAATTTTTTGTTCTTTTATATTGAATATAACTAAATTAACGTCCTTCTTCCAATGAATTTTTAAAAGAAATATCAACATTTTTCTAATATAACTTTAAAATCGATTAATTTTATAAAATTCAAAAACAATATCATTCTGCCTTTTTGTTTCAAGTGAAAAATGTGTATGTCAAGAGTTTCTATCAAGTTAGATATTGTATAAAAATGTTTCTGTAATTTTATCATAACGTATTTTGTTATAATATATGCAGTAAATTGTCTACTGTAATATTTTCTTGTTTGTTTACAAATCAATTGTTCTTTGTGAGTTATTTCATGTGTGTTATACTAGGAAAATCATTAAAAAAATAACAATTTTGTTATATATTTATGGACTTTTCAATGAAGATTGAAAGTAATTTTGAGAATTAAAAAAAATAGTTATAAATATATGTGAATGGAAAATTAAATTTATTTTTAAGAGAATTTTTGTAAAATCAAATAAATAACGATTTCAAGTCAATGAAAAAGTTCTTTTGACAATAAAGATCCAATGATTTTTTAATATATTCCATTGAATTATTAATAATGCATTTACTTTGAAATAAGACTGTTTTTGTTCTGAGGTTCGCAAAATATCTATTAGTGGCTGATAATTGTTTCAAAAATACTATTATAAAATTTTCAAATTTTTACTAATATCCTTAAGCATAACAAAATCGATTTTTTTTTAATCTTATTTTTTACCAGACCCTTTACTTTTTTATAATCTTAAAAAACATTAAAAATGAATTGTTTTTTCCCTTTCACAAAAAAAGTTCTTGAAACTTATCTACATTCTTTTTTCGTTAATTTGAAATTAGATACTGTATGAAATTACTACATTGTCCTTTATTAAATTATTCCATAGTTTTTTTAATTTTATTGAAATGAAAAGCCTCTTAAAATAATTAGAAGTTTCTATATTAAGAATTATTAATTAAGTCTTATTTTCACCAAATAAACATTGTTTTTTTTTTTTGGATGGGGGAGATTATAATTTCTATCGTAACTTTCAATTTCAATCTGTATTCTTCATAAGTTAACTACTTTAGAAAAACGTTACATATGCCAATTTTAAACCCAATTACCCAACAACTTTTTCATATTATTATGAATAAAGATCATCACTAAGTTTGAAACTGACAAACGTCTTTTTTGAGTAGTTAACTTATGACATATATAGACTGATATCGATGGCCTCAAAGATTTTAGGGTATTGATACAGCGTAGCATATACTGCGGTGTTTCGATAATAAATAAACGCGATTTAGTTAGTAGATGTTCGGAAATTTAGGAAATAGTATTGAATTAAATGATTAAGTTCAACTTATTGGATTAACTTTTAAAAACTATGAAGACAATGAAAATTAACAAGAAAAAGTGTCACGGAGGATAAATATGATAAAAACCATTGAGCTATGAAAATGAAATTGCCGTGTAAATGATTAGCGATATAAATAATTTGAAAGCTTCGTGATAATTTCAAAAATATACGCGTCAATTTACTGTCTGGTAACTGGACGCCGGTAACTTCCGGTTAATGCGAGGCATGGTGCTCGTATTACGTATATTGTATGTATATAGTAATTAGTTTTGGTAAATTCTACGATATAAATACCGTGGCGCTGGTGGTCGTTGCGCGCAAATGATTTTGTTCTTTATTGATGCATAAATAACAATATAAATTGATCAATTTTAATAAAATGTATATTTTTATGATAGGAACATTATCTACTATTCAATCAATTTACCTTGTAAAGATCATTATCAATTGAATAAGTTTAAACAAAATTTCGCGCTCATAGATCTGACAGCGCCACAGCATTTTTCGGTCACAGACTATGAGAGCGTGCGGGTGCTCAAACCAAGCCGAGGCTTCAAAACCTCTCTCGCATTTTAGCAGTCTAGAGAATAGCACGTCTACTGGTTCAGCGCTGATCAGTTAGACTAGGCTACACGTTCAACTAGATCATCTCGACCAGCAGATTAAACACTTAAAATGGTAATTATTAAATTTTACAATATTAATTTTCATGCTGAGTGCAATTATTGTTTATAAATCATGATAAACTATCAAAATAAGTTTTGAGGTTATAAGTTCAACTGAGTACACATGCTGCTCTAATTTTCCACGTGTTTATAACTATTTTTTTTTTTATTAAATAGTCGTCACTTAAAGCTGAAACTAACCCAGAGAAGCCGGGAGCCGAAGTGACTCCAGTTCACAGGATCAGGATTACCTTGACCTCTCGACACGTGCGCTCTCTTGAGAAAGGTACATTGAAGCATGATCATGTGCACGTCCTAGTTTGAAATAGTTAATAATTTTTTAACTTGATTTAATCTTTCTTAGTTTGCTCGGAATTGATCCAACGTGGCAAGAAGCAAAAGCTGAAGGTCAAAGGACCTGTAAGAATGCCAACGAAAATCCTGAGGATCACCACCAGGAAGACACCTTGTGGTGAAGGTTCTAAGACTTGGGATCGTTTCCAAATGCGCATTCACAAAAGAGTAATCGATCTGTACTCTCCATCAGAAATCGTTAAACAGATCACCAGCATCAGTATTGAACCTGGTGTAGAAGTCGAGGTAACCATTGCCAACGACTAAGGAATTTGTAATATAATTTCTTACAATTTTGAATAAATTGAAAAAAATCAATATTTAACTGCTTTATTGTATTTACTTTAATATCCTTTATGTCCCTTGATTTTATTTAAACTTTTTGAACTTTATCATCGATTTATCAAAAATTAATAAGCACAAATTTCAAATTTGTGCACTATGTGATTCACACATAATTCATGTGACTGCTTTTTCTATTCTGCTTTTTGTTTGATAGTTTTGGAACAAATAAAATATACTCTTCAAAGGTGTATTCATTCCTATTCTGTTCTCTAAGAAATTGAAAAATTATAATTAAATGAAGATTTAAAATTTTTCAAGCTAGGTTTTACATATGAAAGAATTAGTGACATTTTTAAGATATGCAAATTCCGATAATACATATTTAATTTATTGAAGCTTTGAAACTTAATAGTTTTGCACTCATTTGTCTAAATTCCAGAAATAATAAAAATATCAGATAATCTTGATAAAGGAAATGAATGTAATAAATTTATTATTTCTAAATAAATTGATTATCAAATGTAAAATACATGCACAGAATGGTGTATCATTGTTTCAATTATTTTTTAAAAATTTTATTACGCTTAAAAAAAATATTTATCAGTCTGATGACAAGACTTAATCGATAGTACTTTAAGAAAGGTACTAAATTATATTTTTATCTCTAATCTTCTTCTCCAGATTCATCTTTATCATTCTCTTCATCTCCACTGAATTTTCCCATACCTTCTTCCTCCTCTTCTTCATCATCATCTCCGGCAACTTCTGCATTTTCAAGCTCAGCTCTTTCCATTTGTCTGGCAAGTTCAGCATCATCAGTAGCAGTAACAACTTTAGGCTTTAAAAAAATATGATTTATATAAAAACGTTATCAATTTTCATTTATATCTTTTTAGTATTAATAAAAATGGAATGACTAATGATTTATATGTAAACCATACTTACAGCCATTTGAATTTTAAAAACTCCACCCAGAGAATTAATTTTTTCCTCAATCACTGCAATAGCATCTTGCAATGCCTTCAAACCATCAGCTTTTTCTGGAGTGGATGTAGTCATTACATACAAGGGAGGAGCAATCAAATTTATTTTTATTGGAAGGTCTTCAGTTGATAGAGCTAAACCTGCTTTAAGAGCAGTTTTTACAGCATCAATTCCTTCATAGCCATAACAAGCAACTTCAACATCTGCTCGTATTTTCACAGCTTGAGATGTTAATTTTCTCTTAATATTGTTTAACAAAACTTCTTTTGTCTTTTCATCAAGATCACATTCTGCTAAGATCTTGGGATCACTGTAAATCGAAAAATTATTATCCATAAGATTTCATGATTTCAGTTTTTGCAGAAATTTCATTGTATTTAAATTTTTTTTAAAAATAGCATATAAAATTTTCAGATTTTTACTTACAGTACTGCTTGCTTGAAGAAATCATAAGCAGAAGCTTTTTGTTTTTTATATTTTTCTTCAAAATACCATGCTGTTTTTTGGTAAAGCTCTTCTAGTTGTTCATCGCTATCATAATGCAATAATTCAGCTACATGGCGCAAAATTGAGTTTACTGCTTTGGCTTTAGCATATCGCTCGGTGCACTTGTCTACATCTTCAGCAGAAACTCTTCTTTTACTAAGGTCAATGTATCCTACAATAAAATAACACCATTAGATAAAAGGATTAAAAATATTAAATTCTTTACACTACATAATCATAAAGTAAATTCAAACCTTTTTCTTTATCAACACGAATGACCACTACTGGTTCTGTTTTGCCTACTCTAATTAACTTATTTATCGAACGAATACGTCTTCTTGACAATTCAGAGAGCAAAATCATACCCTCTATGTTATTGTACTCCAATAAATGCACATAGGCACCCATTTCAGCTATGCTACGTACATTAACCATAACAACATCCTCCACTTCAGGATACTTCTCCTTGTAAAATCTACACGATAACACCATTTTGACCTGCAAATAACAGCACAAATATTAATAATATTAATTTGAATTAATTCACAGACATATTTCAAATCGGAGGAGAAACAGTTCACATGAACACCTAACCCGACTACTAGTTGACCGCGAAATGATGCAACCCTCAAGATGTCCGTTAACTTTTAAACGTTAATGGACTAAATAATTAGAAATAAATTACTTCTTTATTGTTATAATTCACTGTTGATTACCATTTTTCACGTAAAACTAAGTAAATCTAAATAATTTATTTACCGGTTAAGTGACGAACACTCCACTTGACGTTGAGATGAAACACACGTTAGCATAAAATCACTTGATACTTTTGCCGAGACTACCACGTTGCTTTTAAGGTAAGGCGCAGGCGAACATTTCACTATCCCCTCTAATGTTTCCAGCCATGGAATTCATCGGAATAGGTTCATTTTTAAAATCATGTAAGATTTTTTTATTTCTAAAGTAAAACTCCTTAATCTCATTAAATATTGAACTTTGGAACTGTATGAACATACTCTTATGTACTATAAAAAAGATTCGACATTGAATATTTAAATAATTTCTATAGAACCGCTGTGCGCAACAATCCTCCATTTTAAATTGACCTTAAATGTAAAAATAAGAATGTTAAATTTTTTATTGTTTTTAATTTAAAATTTATTCTTCCTTTCCCTCTTGAATTATTCCTTTAATCCTCTTTCAATTTATTTCATTTCTATTTCTGAAGATGTGAATGCCTACCCCTACGCGCTCTGACGCCTAGCACGCTTCTCATGCGCACCCCTCATTTTCACTTAATTGTAAGTATGAGAATGTGCATTTTTAATTTTATATCTCCGAAATCTTCTCGTTTTTTCCCTTCCAATTTCCCTAGAATTTTTAATTTTCTTCAATTCCTATATATTTGTAACACTGAAATAGTATTTGACTCGACTCCTCACTTGTTAACCGAAATTTTTGTCTCAGTTCTTTTGAATCAATTCTAATTTATCTCTTCCTTAGTTAAAAACTTGTTTACTCGGTTAAAAAAAAGATGAACCGATTCAGACGGTGGTGACAAGGGCGATGGCAGTCGCTTACGTTTAAAAGTAGATATAGGAAGATTAAGTATCGTGTCTCCAATACACATTAATGAAACAATTTAAATAAAATTTAGACAGCTAATTTGAATTGAATATTGTATCGAACGTTCATAAATTAGGACGTCAGAGATTCTTTTAGAGAAATATACAATGAAAATTTAAAAAAATAGAATCTAGAATTTTATTTTTAAGGATATTTTTGTGAATATTCACAAAAATTTAACCGCTTAACCCATTACCGACCAAAATGCTTGATTTTTTTGTTGGTTTTTGCAGTGATTTTTTTTATAGTTTTAGACCTTCAAAAAATTTCGCACAGACCTATTTCGATGTAAAATTTAATGCCCTTTCCGAAACTAAGCTCAAAACTTTGATTTTTTGGGCAATAAAAAAGTTGCAGCTATTTAAACAAAAAAAACGTAAAAATGTTGGCAAAAAATCAAGTTTTCGATTTTTTTTTCGCCACGCTACCGCTAAGGAATCACGATATAATTATGATCAATGATGATCACGACTATTAAAGTACCTCCGTGAATTTTTATGAAATTTTCAAACGACATTTCAAACTTAAGTTTTGTGCACTTTTTCTCTAAACTCAATAGTTTTCGAGCAAAAATGAGTAATGTTTTATATGAATATGAGTTTTTTTTTTCGAAGGAGTGGTTCAAAAATTCCATAAAAATTCACGGGGGTACTTTGATAGTCGTGATCATCCCTGATCATAATTATATCGTGATTCCTTATCGTGATTCCTTAACGGTAGCATGGCGAAAAAAAATCGAAAACTTGATTTTTTGCCAAAATTTTTACGGTTTTTTTGTTTAAATAGCTATAACTTTTTTAGTACGCAAAAAATCAAAATTTTGAGCTTAGTTTTTGAAAGGGCATTATATGTTACATCGAAATAGGTCCGTGCGAAATTTTTTGAAGGTCTAAAACTATAAAAAAAATCGCTGCAAAAACCAACAAAAAAATCAAGCATTTTGGTCGTTAATGGGTTAAGGAATGATTGATTTTTTAAATGGATCTTAAAAATCATGTATCGCGATCGTAATAATAAAATCATATGTATCTCATAATATTATTGCAAAAATGAATTATGGTTTGAAGTTGTGCATGCTAATTTGTACGATCGTTATTTTTATGTTCTTTAGTACTTTTAACGTATAGATTGAAGTTTTTTGGATAAAAACGAAATTTTAAAACAAAATAAAATTTAAACTGTAATGATTAGATTCTAATAGGAATAATTAATGAAAATCGTTGTAAAAAATGCAGAAAAATATTCAAATTAAATTATGCACAAGCAAGTCATTCTTTATTTATTTGATTGCTGCCAATCTACGAATCAATCTCTATTTTATGGCTGGACTCAAGCAATGTTTGCTTCAAAGATAACATATAGTATAACCTGAACTTAGTGCATTGTGGAGAATAAACGGAGAGTTTATAATATAATTCATATGTTGCGCTTGCAGAGTGCATATCAATAATTTACGTAACATAAAAATATTTTTAAAAAAACAACACAAATTTGCACAAATTAATTGTCTATTACTCGTTCGGAGCAGTCAGCAGTTTAGCCAATCAGCAGAGTAGTCACCACGACCACAACACACTGACAGAAGTCTGCAATTTTTTACTTACTATATACGAACACATACGGCTAAACATACGTATGACGATAAAACTGCAAGTGCTCCAACGACTTGCAAACTTGGGGTACGTGTGCAAAAACTTTTCGATTTGCTATTTCGCCTTTCTTCGGTGGTTCGAGATCGCATTTAAATAACTATAGTGATACTTGTTGAAGTGTTATTTTACTTGGGTATACAGAATTTTTTTGTGATCACTCTACTATTTCGCATCTCCATAGACCTCAATAGGTACGCATTAAAAAATTACTGTGGAATATATTTTATCGAATGAACGTCACTGCTAGTTTATGTAAATAATAAACAAATATTGAGGGCAAATGACCTGAATACTTATATGTGATATAAAAATAACGAATGTAAACAACGAACTGTTTATATCTACCTCCACCTTTCGAACATTGATGATTGAAATTATTCAACATTGATATTTAACATATCCAAGGAACAGATTAACGTTTCTTCGTCGACAGCTTCGTAATTTTCAACATCGATTTCGACATCGTCATTACCTGGATCTTCAATAACTTCAAGTCAGCCGTCGCTGCTATCTTCTTCATTCTCAATAACTCAACTGTGATTGAATTGTCTGTAACAATAAAGAAATCATAATCCCTAGTTCAATATTCTATCATGTCAGGTGAACAAGCTGGAGTCAAAACTCCATCTGAGTATGTTAAACTGAATATTGGTGGCTATTTACATTACACGACTATTAGTACTCTCAGAAAACATGATACTATGCTGCGTGCTATGTTTAGTGGGCGAATGGAGGTTCTAACAGACAACGAGGGTAATTATTCAAAACTTTTATTTAAGAATCTATGAATACAAAATTCATTACAATAATTTTTTATTTATCTTAGGATGGATATTAATTGACAGATGTGGCAAACATTTTGGAACTATATTGAATTATTTAAGAGATGGTTCTGTTCCCTTGCCTGAGAGTATAAAAGAAATAGCTGAACTTCTTGCTGAAGCTAAATATTATTGCATAACTGAACTGGCAGAATCTTGCGAACAGGCTCTTTTAAAAAGAGAGAGAGAGAATGATCCAATTTGTAGAGTAACTCTAATTACGTCTCAAAGAGAAGAACAAGTAATCCTCAGCAGCACTATAAAACCTGTAGTAAAATTACTGGTAAATAGACATAATAACAAATATTCTTATACAAGGTAGAATATATTTTAATATAATTTATTGAGCACTAGCAAATATCATAAAATTGATAAAACAATATCTTCTGTTGCAGTACATCAGATGATAATTTATTAAAAAATATAGAGCTATTCGATAAAATGTCCTTACGATTTAGCGGACGAATTGTTTTCATTAAAGATGTTATAGGTTCCAGTGAAATTTGTTGTTGGACATTTTTTGCTCACAGTCGAAAAATGGCTGAAGTATGCTGTCATTCTATTGTTTACACCACCGATAAAAAACATACTAAGGTATTTAAGATGTTAAATTCTGATTGAATATTAATAGTTCCATTTTATTGCTAATTTTCAACTCTTACATCTGCTAATTTAACTTCAAATTATTTATAAATATTCTTATATATTATTCTTTCATATAATTAAATAAATTTTAAATAGGTTGAATTTCCTGAAGCTCGGATTTATGAGGAAACTTTAAACATATTATTGTATGAAAATCGAAATGGTCCTGATCAAGAATTAATGCAGGCTACATCTTCACAAATCAGTGGAGCTCCGGCATGTACATCAGATGAAGAAGAAGGCGAGCGCTCTGGATTGGCTCGACTTCGTTCTAATAAACAAAACACCAACTGACCCATTTCGATAACTCCCCATCCTGCTATTCGGAGTGTGGTACGTTCTTTTAAAACCAGGGCTAATTTTGTTTGTTCAATAAAAGATTATGATTTCATGAAATCATAATGTTCTTCATTTATTACAGAGTTAATGAAAAATTTGTGAAATCCAACTATTTATCAATAAATAGCTAAATTCAAGTTTTTCTCAAAAATTAAATTTTTGTATAACTCAAGAATTGTTAAAGTCAATTAAAAAATAAGTATTAATAATAAAAATTAGAAATTGTGAGTAATAGACTGGTTTGGCCTAAAAATATATTTTTGCATGTGAAAAATATATGTTAAAAATTTATGTATAAAATTAATGTATATTATACATAATATTTCAAATTTTAAAGGCAAAAAGTAGAACATTAATGAGTTATCATGTAGAAAAAGTCTTCTGGCTTTATTATCGACTTAAAAAACATAAGAATAACAATTTAAGCATTTTTCCAATTTAATGTTTGTATTCTATTAACTATATAGGTGTTACTTTATCTTTTATGTGCCAAAGTTTTGTACTGTATGTAACATAAGGAAAATATTTATTAAGCATTTTTTGCTTAAAAAAAAATTAAACAAACAAAAGAAACATTAATTATTGTAAATTCACAAAAAAGTTGAAATGAAGTAACTATTGCAGTTGTTTAAAATTTAAATTTAATCAATTATGTATAAATATTAATCATATCATGAAAATATTTTCATACAAATGTGAAATGTATAATATTATCATTTGTAGCAATCATGCATATAGTAGTAGATAATATTATACTGTATAATATAATATATTACACTTACAATATACTATTTATACTCTAAGTATAATATTATCAATTTATTTTGAAAGATGTGCTGCCAATATTTTATCGGTATTTTTATTATTACAAGACATGCATTAATTCATATTTTAAATATAAAAAATATTTGATAGAATTCAAAATTTTTATTTATTCTAAAAGTCATTAAACATGAGTAATGAAAAAATTGAATTTTGTGATTATAATATTGTAGTTTAATTTACATTTTAATTTTGAATATAAAAAAATGGTTTGCTGATTATAATTTCATAAAATGGCATTATTTTATAAAACATAATTTTTCACATTTGTTGCAAACAATGTTACTGAATCTACAAAGTTATCAATTTATTCTGACGTACTGTCTACTTTGAGTATTGAAATTAGAAAAAATAAAGTGTGAAAATAGTGACATTTTAAATACACAGGTTACTTACTGAAGTACAATTTTTAATGCATTGAAGACTCAAAGAAGACTCAAAATTTAAAACAGAACATAATGTGTTAGTATCCAATGCAAAAAAATTACTCTTTCATCTACCATCAAAATATAAGTAAAAAGATAAAACTGGAAAGGCATGATGTTTTTAAAAGGTTGGGCATTAATTTTGCAATTTGAATGGGTAATTTCATAAAATATGCTTATGTAATTATAATCGTAAAAATTATATTCGATTCATCGAAAAAACAAAATAATAATAATAATAATAATAATAATAATAATTAAAAAAAATTTATTATTTGAAATAAAATTTAAAATTATAGGAAAAAAAATTTTTTTTCAACTTTATTATTATATAATTTTGAGAGTTTGATAAGTTTTACAGATATCTGAAAATGTATATAATTACCAATAAATGCTTCTAACACTAATTATAAAGACCAATTATTATCAATTAAAAGAAAGAAATAATTGTTGTCACGTCTGATGATGAATAATTTTTATCAAATTTTCTTCGCCTGAGAAATTACTGTGAAATCACCCTAGCTGCGGCACGACACATTTTTCGCTACATTCTAGAAGTAGCTTAAAGTTAAAAGTACGGACTATAGTTTTGTTTACTTGATGCTAATGCTTATATGTTCATAATCTGTCAAATAAGTATACGATTTAACAAAATACAATGAAGGAAGAAAGTTCTAATGAGGATATTGCTGGTGGTATGTGAAATTAGTTTAGTCATGGTTACATTTCAAGTTACTAAAAAATATTTCAGATATGGACTATTTGCAAAAATTTCATTTATACTGAAATAATGTCAAAATCATGTTTTAAAATTTATTGCATAATGATAAAAAATATTTATTAATTTTTAATAAACCTTTCAATCACTGTATATTATTATTTTATTTTATTCTAATGAAAAGTTAATCAATAATTTAAATGCTCAAATGTTTGTTTACATGTGTTTTGTCTTTGCAGATAACTCAAATAGTTTTCTTCAAAAAAGACATAAAAAACACAAGCATAGAAAACACAAAAAAAAAAAGTTGAATCACCAAGAAATAAGTAGCTGCAGTGATGTTACAATTTCAAGAGGATCAGAATTAAAAAAAACATTCAAAGTAAAAATTAGACAAGATACTGAAAGAAGGTAGTTTATAATTTTATTATGACGAGTGAGATTTCTATTACAAAAATCTTTATTTATTAATGTAGTACTGAAAAAACCAAAATAAAAGTTTTTAAAATGCCACAAACTAGTGTAAGTACTAGTCTCTCGCCCAAAGGGATTGTGAAAAAAAAAATCATTAAAACAAACAAAGGTAAAGAAAGCGGTACAAGTAGCGAAGAGGAAAGATGGCTTGATGCTATTGAATCGGGAAAATTGGAGGAGGTAAAAAATATGAATTTATTTTTATGAGTGGTTTAGATGACAAGCGCATAATATCATTTTAGGTTGATGATGAATTGAAAAAAATCAAACCAAAAGATCCAAAACTTATGACTGCCAGGCAAAGGGCAATGTTTGAAAGAAAAACTGATACAGAACCAAATTCTAGTATGGAACAATTAATGTCGCTTCCCACTGGTTACAAAGAAAAAGTAATGACAGCAGAAGCTATCCAGAAAGCAGCCTTAAAATCCTTAAAACGTAAACAACTGGCTGATGAGAAGCGAGAAAAAGACAAGGTAAGATTGGAATAAAATATAAGTTTTTGATCATTTTAATTTTAAAAATACTTGAATTGAACAAAATAACTTTCCTAGAAAAAAACTATGGAACGACTACTGAAAAAACAAGAATCAAAAACATCTAAGGTTGTTATGAAAAATAAACAAACAAAAAAAGAAGTGCCACTGGTTACATATAAAGTTACATTAGAAAGTAGCACAATTTCTTTACCCGAAGGAGAATCATTTCCCCTTGCAACATCCAAAGTGTAAGAATCATAATTTGTATTAACTTCATTATTTTTATTGATTATGAATTTCATGAAATTGCAAATAACTCAAATTACAGAATTGAAATACCGAAGCCAAAACATTGTGCAGTATCACCATGCAAGAATTTAAAAAAATATTTTTGCTCAAAAACGGGGATACCTTTGTGTAGTTTAACTTGCTACAAAAGAAACTTGAACAAAATAATTTCTTAAATGATGTTGGACATTGTATATAGTCATTCAATATTTTAACTAGATTTATTTGTAAGCTTATAATAAAATATAATTTAATTTACAAAATATAATTTTGTGTTGAATATATGATTAGGCAAATAAAATATAGTTTATTTTAATATAAAAGTTAGGATTCAATTTTTTTCCTTATGAAGTGTTGTTAAAATTATTTTTTTCAATACAAATAAACTTCAAATAAATACAAGTAAATTGATCATACATTAAGAAAGTATATATAACTAATAATGATTAATTTAATAGAAAATATATTCGAACATAATTTCATTTTTAAAGCAAAGTGCGTATCAACGCTTTTAAAAAAATGTTTTTTAAAAAGTTCAACTTTTTAAAATATTTTAGCGTTTCACGCATTTTTTAAATTCATTTTCGAAATGTTAAAATTGTAACTTATGCTATCGTTTGGTGACTAATTTCGACTAAGCTTTGTGGAATTGTTTTTCAACTTATGTGCGACTATCATGCACTATAGATATTGTGCGATCTTTCACGTGCTTTACGCCTTCTTCCAAAGCTCGCAGAACCAAATCAACGTGTCCAGGCGTTGCATTGACTCCCATCAGGCCTATACGTATGACTTTGCCTGCCGTGGGTCCCAATCCACCACTGATTTCGACGTTGTATCTGAAAAAAATATGAAAAAAAATATGTCGTACGAATCAAATATTTTTAATAATGAAGAGTTTGAAAATGCAAACCCGGAGAATTTTGAGTGACGAAAATGATCATTCCTGCTTCGGGTTTTTCCAAATTGTGACAGATTTCATAAATTGATTTTTTACCCATCGAAAGCTTACCCAATTGACCCGATTGATATACTCGTTATATGAATTCTTCAATTTATTAACGCTTATCTAGATGAATAATCAAGAACGTAAAAAATGATTTTGTCGCGATCAGTCAATGAATCGAACATTATCGAAAGAAGGAAAGAAAATCGAGTCGAGTAAAGAAGCTTTCGATGTAATCTCGATGCACGTCAAGGACTAGGGATTAGAGGCTATGAGAGGGCTGTTAAGTGCGATATGCGTGATTCGGTCATTTCTCAAGTTTCTCAACGTCTCGGTCTCTCACCTGTCCTTGGCGAAGGCGATGAGCGAGGGCGCGTCGACGCCGGCCGGCAAGAGGATCGAGCTGACGGTGGCCAGCCGATGGCGGGGCTGCTCGACGTAGAATCCGTAGCCGCGCTTGGCCAGGGCCTCGTGGAACTTGGCCTTGACGGCGTGATGCCTGGCCCAACTGGCCTCCAGACCCTCCTCGGCCAAGATGGCGAGGGCTTCCCGCAGGCCGTAGACCAGAGTGGCGCTGATGGTGTGGTGGTAGGGCCGCGGGCCGTTCTCCCCCTCGAAGCAGTTCCAGTAGCGTCCCAGCCACGTCATGTCCCAGTTGAACGAGTGCACCGGCGTTTTGCGCGATCGGATTTTCTTTCTGTCGAGCAAACGATACACGTTACACTTTCGTACCTGCTTTCCGAGCGATCGAGCCCCCTATACTGTGTCTCTCGTCCGAGCGGCTTGTCCGAGTTTAACGCGCAACGTAAAACACGATCGCGTATGCGTTTACACGACGCCAACTCGTTTCCCGCTAGTCGGTGCGTGCAAAAACCACTCGTTATTAAAAAAGTTTGAATGAAAAGTTCGAAAATCGCTGCGTGACTTACGCAGTGCCATTGCCAAACTGCTTTTGATATTCAAAGCAACATCTAAAGCTTCATAATTGGAAATTATGATTACCTTTATATGGAAAATCGCAGCTGCTGTGCTACCAATACGTACAGCAACAGCAGCACTAAGCTGTGTACGATGTACATACGCGTGCTCGCTGATATATAGCATTTTTTTTTAATCACGCCCAGCGTAGCGTCTACTTGAATTCGGCATTTAAGCCGATCGCGCTTTCCATTTTGCTATTGTTATTATTACGGCGATCGATCGAGCTAATGAAAATCGCACGAACAGAACGATAATTATTATTTTCACGAGCCTAAAAGTTCCTGCTGAATTTATATACTTAATGACTGAACAAATTTTTTCCTCGGTTTATCGGTATTTTATCGAAATATTATATGCGCCTATACCGCATAAACGGGTGCAAAAATATCGAGAGTAACGAACCTTCAGTGGTAGCTCGAACTCATACACGAATGCTAAAATGATGTACAAATCATAGCTAGATTATGCAACGGCCCGGCAAGAGGTTGTCCATCTCACAAGGGATAAAAAAATATAATATCGTTTAAAATTGATACACTTACTCGGCCAAAGGACTGAAACTCATGGGTGTGATGCCGGGAGGTGCCCCAAGGACCTTTTGGCTACCGGTGTAAACGACGTCGACGCCCCATGCGTCGGCGAAAAACGGCTCGGCGCCTAGACTCGCCACCGTGTCGACGATCAGCAGAGCGTCGTACCTTTGAAGAAAGAAGCAAGAAGAGTTTAGATCGTTTAGTGTCGTTGAGTAGTGCGGCAAACGACATCGGGCGCAATTTGACTCACTTGTGACAGATCTCGCCGAGTCCCTCGATGGGCTGCATGAGGCACGTCGACGACTCCGAATGAGCCACGAACACTGCAGCAGGCCGGTGCCGCTTCACAGCCTCTTCGAAATCCTCCAGCTTAAAAGCTACTCCAGGTTCGACGTGGAAAAAGTCCACCTATATCGATGACAAAAACAGAGAAAGAAAATTGTCTGAATAAAAAGATTTATCGTTTTTGATGTATTCCATGTCCTATTTCTTCTTTATTTCACGCGTCTCTTCGATCGTCTTTGTATTTTATTTTTTTCCGTTTCGCTGCTACAACTATATCCGTTATAAACTGAGAAGATTCGGATCTCTTATAGAGGCGGTCGGTGTGTCGAGACTTTGATCTTTGGCAACGAACGCGTTTAAAGCGAGAAAATCAACGAGTATCTGTCCAAAATACTATGCACCTTCGAAGAAACTTTCTAATATGTAACTATTCGCGAATGCGACGTGGAAAGTTGTTAGTCAGAAAATTGTCAGGTTAAAAATTGTACCACTCGTTCGTTTAAAAATGACAATATACTAACGTGAATGCCAATGCGCTGCGCCATGTCAGCCGCCCTCTCACCCCAGAGTCCAGCTTTGACGACGAGCAACTTTTCGTCGCGCTCGAGGACATTGCCGATCGCCGCTTCCATAGCCACGTGAGCCGAGGCGCTGACCGCCAGTGTCAGCCTGTTGACAGTTTGGAAGGCGTAGCGGAGCCCTGCCTTGATGTCATCCATCAGCTGCAAGTGGAGAAAAGAAAATTAATCTTTCGAATTCGAATAGCTAGAAAAATTTGTATCCAGACACCTCGCACATATCTGACTCAATAGAAAGAGAGAAAGATATCACGCACGGCATCGCACATACGACTTCATCTTTATTTATGATTTTGGACAATTTAAAAAAAAAAAAATTCATGCTTTATATAATGAAGATGTGGCTAACTGCCAGATGACGAACTAGTCATTAAGAAGTCACTAATGTATTCGTTCGCTTTTTCACGGAATAATTTTTGAAAAGCACTTGGCTTTCGAGAATGCCCGGAGTGCGCGTATTTTATGAATATCATTTTTAAAAAATGTCGTTTTCTGTATTGCCTTATAGATGAAGCCAACTGGGAATATAAAGGTAAAATTTTCAAGCTAATTTAAAAGCTTGCGAGTCCTTTGGAAAGGTCAAAAATCATGTTAGCAATCGTGAGTAGCGTGAAATTTACGCCAAGACTAGCTATCTCGGCGTGTTAAAATTGCCCGACGTGTACGAGTGATGTTAATTCATAATTATAGTAAATATCTCGGGTGTATACAAAGTTGTCTCTCTCTCTCTCTCTCTCTCTCTCTCTTTCTACTTTTGCGTTCGTCACCGTGGCGATAAAGTGAAGTAACGCATATTAGCCGCAGCCGTAATTATATTACAAAGGGAGCATGGAAAAGGCAATCGGAAAAAGAGTGGCATTGCTTGGCGCTGTTTCATGCACTTTGCCACTCGTGCTCGCGCTTTCATCAATACATGGATATATCATAAATCGCGATAAACGGCACCTGTACTTGTGTGCACATGGAGCATTGGAAGGCGAGGATCGATCGCGCAGAGAGCCGAAAAATGGGAGCCGCGTGCACGTACCTGAAGAATTTCCGGATGCAAATGGCCGAGCACTTGCTGCTTGAGCGCGTCGAGCACGCGTTGCGAGCAATTGCTCGGACCCGGACCCGTGAGGATCCTCAGGGGTAGCTGCAGCGGCTTGAACAGTTCTTTGGGTGCGTTCGTCACGGGCATTGTCATCTCTTCCATGGCTTTCGACTCCTTGGCTGCTGCTGCTGCTGCTGCTACTGCTGATGCTGCTGACGTCGATCTGCGAAAACGCAAAGCACACTTTTTTATCTCATTGGGCTCGAGCTGCTAGAAAGTATGTTATAAGACACTCGACGTGCGCGATAGCGAGTATTATTATCTTTTTCGCGAGCGATATTGTTGCACACGCTCGACGCCTTATAAAAGTGAATAGCCACTCGACTAAACTGAATTGTGCAAAGTGATATGTAGCGAGCAAAAAGCTCACTTTTTCTCCTCTCTCTCTCTCTCTCTCGCACCGCGCACTTTTGCTCACCAGTTACGTAGAATATGCACACAAGAAAAAATTGGTCAGGATGTGTAAGGCAAAACCGAGCGAGGCAGTTGCACAAGCGCGGCGCAGCTCTCTTTATAACAATAAACCTTAAGCGTATTTTGCTTTTATACAGCCGGCGGTGGGCTATAAAAGTCGCTGCGGCGCGCTTGTGTACATTTACTGGAGTGCGTGCGGCGCGAAGCTCGCCAATGCGTGGCTGCGATCCAATTGATTATCGCGATGCACAGCTGTAACAGCTGAGAATTTTTCTCCTTTTCGCTGCCGCCTGTTTACTCGTTTTCGAAGCTTATCGAATGTACCTACTCGAGAGCTCTGCAGCCACGATGAGTATCTCCGCTGTCGGCTCGTATATACCGAATTTACGTAAGTCTCTCAACCGATAATACGATAATGCGTCTCTGTGCGTAAACCCACGCGCGCGACTCTACGACTTGTATTATATATATGTGTCTCATCAACCTCTCGATCGCTTCGACGAGCAGCACAAACGAGGACTTTGTCGACTTTTCGCTCGACTTTAATAAGCTACTGAAAGACGCATCTTTTCGACTCTTTGCTTTAATACTCAATGATAGTAATGATAAATCGTTTACTCGCTTGCGGTAGTACTCGCTTCGGTTCTCGCTTATTGAAAAATAAATAATTGACAAAAAAAAAATAATGAAAAGCGGGCCACGAGTCAGATAACCCTCCGACTGACCCCTCGAGTAAAGTTCAATTAAATGCTAAATAAACAGTGACTTATTGTCTTGCTAGCCTCGGATACAACCAACGAGACTTCCTCTGCCTACGCAAACTCTCGGTCTCATCTATACGCGAAACCGAAATAATATACACAACGAGACTTTTATCCATTCATCTTATCTCCGTAACGACGACGGACTCCCGTCTTACGTGCATACAGTATAGTACACATGTCTATGTTTTTGCGCCAATGAAGCAAGCCTTTCGGATCTCTCTCTCTCTCTCTCTCTTATTTTTGTATTTTTCCCTTGGTCAGCTGGCTCGTGTTTAGATTTAGACTTGCTCGCGTCATTATGCGTATAAATATTGTTGCTGCGACGATTACGATCATCTGCGTCAAAGACTATAAGCAGCGACAGACGGCCCAAACAAGTGGCGCGAGGAACCGTCAACGACGACAAAACTCATTATCGCGATTGAATCGCGCAAAGCGAGTAAAAAGTAAGTCATCCCGTATGGTGAGCAATGATCCTAGATCAAAGCGACAAACAATCTCCCCGACGTTTCGCTGGCTCGAGCCGCACTAACATCATTTGAATTACTCTCGCTTCGTTTTCTTACTCGACACCGTTTAATTGTTCGTCTTAAAAAGTTACGACGTTGTATACCGGCAAAGCGCCGAGACAGTTTCGGTTTGATGTCGCTATGGTGATGTGAGATTACAATTTTTTGAAGCGAAACAGTCAAGTCGTGGATTGCAAAAGTTTGCTTTTTTACGAAATCATTCGATTCGATCGACGCTCTAAAAATATTTCTTTCGTACTGATGGATGTATCCTTTTTGAAATGTAATTCTAACGTCGCTGCAATTTGTTTTACGAAGAATAGCAAAGACTTCGATGAATAAAGAAGTTTGAACTTTTCTCGACTTCCTCCAAGTCCTATATTCTCTCGTTTAACGTGAATAGGCCTGATTATCGATGATGAAACAAAACAATATTTTTATACTCTCAAGTCTAGGAGCGAAGAATAGAGAAAAAGTGTGCTTTGAAGGTGCCTAATGGTCGTAATGACATGGTAGAATAAAAAAAAAATTTACGAAATCGACGAGCCGAGCGCTTTGTGAGACATCGGCGTCAATTTCTTTTCGAGAGGAAATGCCGAATGACTACGATCAAAAACGCTTTCTAGTCAGAAACAGTTTTTTAAACAATTCGAGTGATTTGTACATTTGATTCGCGCAAGTGTTTTGTTTTGTTTACTGACAAACAACACGTCAAGATTCAAGAGTAATTTTTTGTGATATATTATGAGATTAGTTGAAATTCATTTTGCGTAAAAAAGTATAATCAAAAAGTTGGTCTCATTGTGAAAAATTGAACAAGTTTTTGCAATGTAATCTCGATTGTTTGAACGATCGATTGCTGTTCAGTAAAAATGTTGCAAGACAAGCGCGGCTGGAAATGCCAAGAGAAGATTCAACAGGTGTTAAACCGGCTTACGGTTCCTTCAAGATCGGTTTTCAACTTGAGATTTTTTCTCTCACGCTTTGCACGCTTCTTTAAAACCGACAACACGTTTTATTTGGTAGGAAAAAAAATTCAAATGTAATTCTTGTTGTACCTTTGCGGAGTGCCTCTTCAGAATACAGATCGAAATTTTCCAAGCAATTATTGTTATTGGAAATAAAATTGAAATAATCAGTGAACAATATCGAGACCCTCCGAGATGCGTGTGGGTAAAAAATTGCAAAGGTAACCCGACTCCATTCTACTGGCTAATAATACGCTCAGATAAGCACACGCTTCAGTGCACTCGTCGCAGAGCTTGCATATATATATACGTATGTGGCTCTCGGACCACCTGTTGCGTGGCATGCTGCACACGGCTTATGAATGTTGCATACGTACGTGTGTTCACTCACATGCACGCGCAACTCATTTTTTCAATTCTCTATACCGAGTGTGACTTTTTTCTCTTCCATCCGGTTGATTGACCAAAATTGAAGGCAAACACGAGCAAAAACTTTGAGATTTAAAAAAACTTTTTGACGGATGAAATGTGTCGCAAATTCAATGGAACGATACTCAATTGACGTAATTGCTTTGTTCTAATAACGAATTCGGTTGCTGACTACATTAGCAATTGTCTTGCACACGTGTTACACTATATTTTTCATAATGTCAAGCAGTGCCGAGGAAAAGTGTTGTACGAGGGCAAATAAATTACTCTTGTAATAAACGGCGATAAAAGTTGCGACAGACGCTCGGGGCTTTAAAGATAATTTCTTATTGCACGACGTGCGACGTGCAGCAGCGGCTATCGTTAATTCACGCCTCTGTCTTGCTCGTTTCCAGAAAGAGAGACGCGAGGAGCTGATGAATACGTGCCTCGTTCGCTCTTAGGGGGACGCTTTCATGAATGGATCTGCACGCACTGCCTGCGCGTCGCTCCAAAAATAGGCTCGCAAAATTTCATGGGTGGCATCGCAACCGTTGCAGCCAGCCACGACCAGTCACGGCCTGCTACGATCGCGCGTGGCTTGAGAAATGACCCATAGACGCTTTTACTTACTCGATTCAATGATTTTCGCTCCGCGAATACATGCGTTCCCCCTGATACGCGCGAGCTGATCATCGGCCTGAAAATATACAGAAAAAGATACGGCGTCTTTTTTTTACCCTCGGTTATTTTTCACGAATTCGAACGTTATTCTGTTTATTCGTAGTCGCACGCGACGCAATTTTCGTTGACATGAATTTTTATTTTTCCACGAGCCGTGCACATACACCTTTTTTCGTCAATGTCCGAATACTCATACGATGTTTCTCGATATAAACCACTTACGAGGAAAATAATTTTTTGTTTTTACAAATACTTTCCAAACGCAACGGCGAAAGGATTCCAAATATTATCATTGGACAATGAATAGCGAGCAAATGAACTTGAAAAAACATTGAAATTTTGACGAGTCCGTAGGAAGATTGTACCACAGCGCAACAATATGCAATTATTCGGGCGCAGGGCATGTTTGCCGAGTATAGTCATAGCCGCTGCAAAAATGTTAAAAGCTGCGAAAATGGTTTTAAAGCAATAACGCGGCGCGCTACGGTAATTGTTCAATTTTCGAGAGGCCTCATCGACTCAGTGGAATAAATGATGAGCTGCAACGGCAAAGTACACGCGGTAGCATCGAATGGAGAAAAGGGAAAAATTTAAAATACACAAAAATGTCGAGAAGCGTACTGATGTAGAATTGATTATGCAGGGTCGTTGCAGCGAGGTGGCGATGGCGGCAGCGTTGGGTGTCCCATCGATTACCCGCGTGTTATGTGCAGTTTATGTTCGAAAGCCATCGTTGATCGCAACAACGTGACAAGGAGTTTAGTCTAGCCCGCCGAAATAAAGGTTATAAATCTTTGGGTCTTTGGTTTGAGTGTGTCTGGAAGCGGCGGCGGCGGCGTCGACGAATCTTGGGCCGCGCGCAAAACATCGCACACGAAGAGCTCCGTATTAAAAGGTCGAGATGTTGGAGCTGCGAGCTCGAGAGTCGGGCGCGCGATAAAAATCGCCCCTCTCTCTCTCTCTTTCTCTCGCTCTTGCGCACAAACTAGAAAGAAGGAGGATGAGGACGGCGCGTGCTCGGAGCTGCTAAAAAAGTAAAGAAAAAAATCCGGATGGGTGAGTTTGGTTGAATTCCGAGAGATCGATGCAAATGCGTTCATTAGGCCTTGGCTGCGAGCCAGGCCCGCGCGGACAGCAAGAGAGAAGAGAAAAGTAAAATGATATATATAAACAGACGAGGCAAATGCATACAGCTCACTGGATTTTAGGTATTACGTACACGACTAGGCTAAGAAAGGAGGGTCAAGTTCGACTGCATATCGCGTGTACTTGGAATAGCAACTTATCTCATATCCCCTGCTCGTCTCCAGCTTGATTGGTGCACCCACGCAATTCAGAAGTGCGTGGACATATAATGTAATATATGAGTATAGTTCATGTTTTGTGCGGAAAACTTTTTTTCACTGAACGCGGTAGGTCACATAGAACTATATAACATAGATTTGATTTGAAGATATAAATGTATTACATCACACTCACTTTAAAGTGATACTAGTTTAGTTTTTCACTTGATATGGGTTGCCCTACAAGTACTGAACAATTTAAAATGTATAAATGTACTTGAATTTAAGGACATAAAAAATATTTGAACATGTGAACTTTTCTATTTCATAACTTCGGAAAAAGTATGGTTTGAATAATTTTACAAAAAGTCATTGGTAAGGCGATCTAATGCAACGTCATACAGTAAATATTTATGCATCGTATATGTAAACACTGAAATTGCCTTGTTATTGGCTGCGGATAAACACCTATAAAACATGTCAACCTTTTTAGTTCCAATCTCAAAATCAGGGACTAAGAGGAAAAAATATTAAAATTGTTTCTGAAAATGTTATGTCTCAATGTAACAACTCTTGTGAACTCTCTGTTTCACGACTTTACGTATTTTATATGCATTAGGTGCGTTATTATTTGTGAAAAAATGTTTGTTATTGTGTGGCATCGTCGATACAAAATTATTTTTTAAATCAGAATTACCAAAAGTGAAAATTGATCTTAGAGCAACATAATTTGACAAAATTTATAATTTTTTGAGAATTAGCCATATGGTTTAGCGCCATCGGTGTGATCGTAACAGGCCTGTATTTATGTAACGGAGAACATAGTTTGCGTGCATTTGTAGAACAAGCGAGCGTCCTGCGTTCCAGCCGATAAACTTGTATCGTAGGGCACATTTGTTTC